TCTCCGCCCAAATGTCTTTAGGGCGAGGAACACCCCAACTGGTGACACAAGCAAAGGGGTCTGGCCAATAAGTACCTTAATTTCCCTGTTTCCCCTCTCGTATATGTATTCCCAAAGGGCGGGAATACTGCTGATTTGCCATCAGTGGGAAAATCGAGTAATTCGAGTCATTTGCGCGGTGGAAGGAGGATAAATAATCTTTGTTTACATGCATCAGGACCTCCCACTATACCCCCACAGGACAACATAGGACAATATGGTCTCTGTGGCTTAAAAACTTTAATTAGCGACAGCATGGAACTAATAGTCTGACCATCTGTCTTGTCTCTTCGTGTGACTTACTGGTGATGAAGAAAAACGTATCTGAACCACACATATTCGCACGCGACGTCGCTCACTTGCGGCCGCGAGCGTTCCCCGTGGCGGCCATTTTCGGAAGCCGCGAAGAGGTGGAGCGGCGGAGCGAGCGAGGGCGGCGGGAGGGAATTCCGTTTTCGACCCGGCTGCGGCGGGGACCTTGCCTCTCTTCCTATCTGAGCTTTCGGGGTGCTAATCGCATACATTCTAAAGGCCCATTTACGTCGGCGAAGTCATAGCTTGATTTCATAGTGAAGCATTTAGGAACCAAAGTAGGAATATAAGATTTGGCCCGACGTGCGCCCCGACCGGCTTTGGGGCGACGGCAGCGGTGGTCGTGGCGGAGGCCGCACCGCGCATGCGCCTGACGCCATCTTGGCTGCCTCGTGCGCACGGCCGTGTATCGTGCAACAACAATAATATTAGGAATCATCAATGTATTCGGATTGTGTAAGTTGTTGAGTACCTCTTTATTCGTACGCGAGTGTATCAAGATCTGATTGTCGACTGCACGTGAGTCATTCGCAGGTCACGACGCCTGATCGGGAGCCGCAGCCGAGCTCCGCCATTGGTGTGCGTCTCAGGGGCTGTTTCAACGCACTTTTCCCAATTACTCGAAACTCGTGCTATTGGCAGCGACATATTTATCGAATCTGCCTTTCTTTGCGACCCTGAATGTTTTGACAGTAAGTGGAACATGGGTGTCGAGCTGAAGGGTGGGACGAGAAGAGCTAGAAGTATGACACACAAGGGGTTGCTTACTTTCACACCAGAAAACCAGGTCGGTGCAGGTCACGTTATGCAACCGGCAGATTGTTGTCAGGTGCTTGGACTTTCTGCAAGTTGAAGTAGAGGTGTTGCAGATATTGTATTTTGAACGTTAGATTATATCTTCAGTGATATGTTGTGTTGGAGTGTGTGGGGTTGCCGACTTGTCCACTTTGACCTCGAGTCATGTGGTCGGGCAACATGTCGGGCAACATGGCGCAACGCAAATTTCAGATTACGATGTAGTTATGAATTAATTGTTCAGGAGTGATTACTTTTCAACCGTGTTACATAATGGGCATTTAGTTTTTTTTGTCAGAAGTAATGGTGTTGGGTAGGTTGCTATCTGTTGTTGCCATTGCAAGAATGAGACGTGCAATCAGCATTACTGGTTTAATGAAATGGCTGGTTTTGTAGAGTTGTGTTTCTTGAGTTGCTTATCTGTTGTCACACATTCTGTTATCATGCATTGCTTAATGTAAGTTATTATTAAATGATGTTCATTTTAATTGGACATTAGCTTCACTTTACAAATGGTTTTACTTATTAGTATTTACTTTTGAACTGGATAATATCCACATTGCCAAATATTTCTGGGACTGTTAGAGGTGTGACATACTATTGGTCCTTTAGAAAAATACCAGTCATCTATTCATTAGCTTATTGTGGTTTACACACACACACACATGCACATGCACATACACATGCACATACATGTACACATTCACATGAACATACACATACATATACACATACACATACACATACACATACACATACACATACACATACACATACACATACACATACACATACACATACACTTACACATACATACACTCACACTCAAACACACATACACACAAATACAAATACACACACAGACACAAATATACATGCAAACACATACACATACAGACATAAATACACACACAAACACAAATGCATGTACAAACACAAATACATAGACAAACACAAATACACAATCAAACACAAATGCACAGACAAACACAAATGCACAGACAAACACAAATACACACACAAACACATACACACAAATACACATACACACAAATACACATACACACAAATACACATATACACAAATATACAAATACACAAATATACACAGACAAACACAAATACACAAACACAAATACACAAACACAAAAACACATACACACAAATACACATACACACAAATACACATACACACAAATACACATACACACAAATACACATACACACAAATACACATACACACAAATACACACACACACAAATACACACACACTCAAATACACACACACTCAAATACACACACACTCAAATACACACACACTCAAATACACACACACACAAATACACACACACAAATACACACACACACACACACACACACACACACACACACACACACACACACACACACACACACACACACACACACACACACACACACACAGATACCCCCCCCCCCCATGCACACACAAATACCCCCCCCCCCCCCCACAAAAAAAAAATCCCTCCCCCCACATGCAATTAGACACACATACACCAATAGACACACAAATGCACAAATACACACACTTGCACACACACACACACACACACACACACACACACACACACACACACACACACACACACACACACACACACACACACACACACACACACACACACATTTGTGCATTATATGACTGTATATTTATGGATTTTGCTGGACATAAAGGCATCCTATCATGGTGAATGCAGTGGTATATGTCATCTTTCTGTTGATGATGATATTTGTAGTTATGGTGATAGTGATGATGATTGTTGTTATGGTAATGCTAATGGTATCATCATCATCATCATCATTATCATCATCATCTATTTTTATATTGCTGTTGTGTAGATTTTGTCATTATGAGAATGATAGCTATGTACTGATATAGAATTTGCAGGTTTCATCATGTGTAATGAATCTATGTTAACTTAATCTAATGAGTTATTATTTGTTAATGAGCTTGTATATATTCCCATTTATGTTTTGATAACTGTGTCAGAGATTGGATCATGTGTTTTTTTCTTTTTCTTTTCTAAAATATAAACATTAAAAACAAATACATGATGAAGACTAGGAAAAGAATGAATTATGATTTTCTTAAAGATTATTTTACATGTTGAATAGTAGCTTAGGCTTTAAATACAAGCATAATTAAAAAAAGAAAAAAGTTTGTTTTACCCAGAACTACTAATAAAGGTAATCTGCATTGTATTACTTGAAGCAGAAGGGTTATGAGCAAATTAAAATTTGTTTGCGGATGAATTGTTTTAAAGATTGCCATGCTGGAGGACAAGAATTTACTTTGACTAGGGGTCATTCTGTTGATAAACTTTTGCTACTTTATTATTAATGTATTCTGTGAATGTTAGAAATATATGATGCTCAGGGATATGCCAAATTATTTTTATTAGGAGCTGTGGCCTCTTAATAAGTTGGCTGTCCATAAATTAGCTCACTCTTGTTATATGCTCTGTCGGAGCATTAAAGACTAAGAGCTCTTGTTATTGTGGCAAAAATTAAACTGCAGGTTGGATAGCATTAGTCTTTTGAAATATGTCCACTTAAAGAATGAAAGGAATAAAATGTAGTAAAATCCTGCCAGCACCCAATGATTTTGTCACAGGCTTTGATTGAATAAACCTTAGTGCTCAGATCATGGATTGCTTTAGGGATAATGAGGCTGAGTGTAATTTTTAACATTGGTGCCTGATTTCATTTACGTAATTGACTAAAATAAATGATCAAATAAATTGAATTGTATATAGAATATTGAATAACTTGTTAAATGATATTGGTACCATGAATAGCTCAATAGATGACAGTATAATCTTTAGACAGAAGAAATGGATTCTCTATTCAGACTTTATTGATGTTTAGTTTACTTTTTTTCTGCACAGGTAAATGATAACATTTGTTTGGGTATTTTTTTTTTTTTTCTTTTTGTCATATGTATATATATTTTTGGGCAGAACTAATGAAATATAAGGTAGCGCCCCAAGGGACCTATGGGGCCCTAAAAGTAATATAATCTGTTATTATCATCATCAGCGAGATACTAATTATAATGGTAATATTGTTTGAAAGATTGATATTATTATTATATTGTGTAGAAAGTATTAATATTATTATTATATTGTGTATGTTATTATTGTTATTATTAATAATTGTCATATCACTAATAAATATACTGATGATAATGGTATTTATGATAATAATAATAATAATGATGATGAAAATCATAATGTTAATAATGATAATAAATAAAAGAAAAATGATAGTGATGTTGATAGTTTATGATAATGAAGGTTATGATAGTAATGATGATATAATGATAAGTCTTAATGATAATAATGATAATAATAATAATAATAATAATAATAATAATAATAATAATAATAATAATAATAATAATAATAATAATAATGATAATGATAATGATAAGGATAGTTATAATTGGTGATGTTATTAATGATGATGATAACTAGTAGGACAGATGGAAATTCCGTAGAACAAAAAAGAGAAAAGAAACTCCTTTCTGCCTCTTTTGCCCTTCTGCCTTTTGCTTCACCTCTCCCTTTTCCTCTTCCAGTTTATCACCCCCCTCTACATCAGCCTGCTTCCACGTCACTCCTCTTCCTCATTCTTCCCTTCCCTTACTCATCCCCTTTTCTTTGTGAAGTTCTCTCTATTTCCCCTCAGTTTCCCCATTTCCCAACTCATTTTTCTCTTTATGTCCCCTTCCCCTCCCTTTCTTCCTCTCCCCCTACCTTTCTTCCTCTCCCCCTCCCTTTCTTCCTCTCCCCCTCCCTTTCTTCCTCTCCCCCTCCCTTTCTTCCTCTCCCCCTCCCTTTCTTCCTCTCCCCCTCCCTTTCTCTTTCTCTCCCACCTTCCTTCTCAACCTCCCCCCTCGAGTAGTCATGTAAATAATAAATGTGCATAAACTGATGGTCTCACTACATGCTTTGAAGAAGAAGAATGATGATAATGATTATAATAATAGGGCTAATAGTAGTAACAATAACAACAATGAAAATAATATGATGATAATAATAGTATTAGTAATAATAATGATAATAATAATAATGATTGATAATAATAATAATAGTTAATGATAATGGTACTGATGACAACAACAACTATTATTATTATTATTATTATTATTATTATTATTATTATTATTATTATTATTATTATTATTATTATTATTGTTATTATTGTTGTTTTTAGTGTTAGTGTTAGTGTTATTGCTATTGCTATTGCTATTGCTATTATTATTATTATTATTATTATTATTATTATTATTATTATTATTATTATTATTATTGTTGTTATTATAACTATTATTATTATTATTATTACTATTACTATTACTGTTACAATTATTATTACTATTACTATTATTATTATTACTATTATTATTATTATTATTATTATTATTATTATTATTATTATTATTATTATCATTATTATTATCATTATCATTATCATTATCATTATCATTATCATTATCATTATCATTATCATTATTATTATTATTATTATTATTTTTTGATTTATTATTTATTTTTTATTATTATTATTATTATCATTATTATCATCATTATTGTTATTGTTATTGCTATTACTATAATTATTATTACTATAATAATGATTATTATTATAATTATTATTATATTTTTTATTATAATTATTATTATTATTATTATTATATGTTATATATAATAATAATAATAATAATAATAATAATTATTATTATTATTATTTTATTATTATTATTTTTATTTTCATTATTATTATTATTACCACCATTACTATTACTACTACTATTACTATTACTATGACTATCATCATTATCATTATTATATTTGTTATGGTTCTAGTTGTAGGAACCTCTCCAAAGATGATTATCTGTACAATCACAATGTGGTCTAAAAGACAGTGTTCATGCTCTTAAGTTGCTTCACTGGTGTCCAGTCACAAATGTAACCACAATGCGCTTTTCTCCACCATATTTCAGGAAAGGAAAAAAACGGCAGCTTACATTCACCTGTCTTAACCTCTCGCTGCCTGTGAGAATGTCTTGAGTGTCAGTGTGTGTGTGTGTTTCTCTTGGCTCCTTTGTTGCAACTTGCAGGTGTACCTTAGGTGTTCTGGTGCACCTTAGCAGTGGCAGGCAACTTGTCCTAGTTTATTCAAACTATGGAGATGATTACTAGATCATAAAAATTGCAGTACTAATCTGCTATTAATCTAAAAATACTAAGAAATCATCCATTATAAATCCTAAAGATATTAGTAGTAACATAGAAGGTGAAGAAAGGATTTTCTTACATAAAGGCATATGATATAGTGAGAGCTGGGCTTACCTCTGGTACAGTCATCATCATCGTTATCATCTTTGTTGTTTTTGTTATCACCATCATCGTCATCATTGTCCTCGTTGCTATTACCATTATTATCTTTTTTATTATTATAATCATTGCCATTGTTATGATACGTGTTATTATCAATATATAGTTTGTATTATTATTTTTATCATTATATTATCCCAAGCAAATATTGAAAATGGTAATAACAGTTATATTAGAGATTACAAATGTAACAATTTTACTAAAATTAAAGATCACATTGAAAATTATTTTAAATAGATAAAGAGATCTAGAATTATAAGATTTCATCTAACCTTTTTTATTTACAGATGCAAGAATATGTACAATGAGTGAGCCCAGCTCAGATGGAAGCCCTGGAAGGCAGAGGCGGTCCACAGAAAGGAGCAGAGAGAACATCCGAGAATACGTCAAGCTCCTGAGTCGGAAAGTGACCGGGTCGCCCTCTGGTCACCGAACCCCAAGACTCCTTAGGGAGGTCAAAATGTCAGATGGGGGTTCAGGTCACAAGTCCAAGCCAGAGGGTGACACCTCTACCTCCCCAGCTCACACAAAATTGTCCAGTAAGAACCAGGAAAGTGCAAAAGAGAAGCAACTCAAGAAGGGCATTACGCAAACCAAGAAAACAATGAAATCCAAGAAGAATTCTGGGTCAGCTAGTGTATCAGTTTCTGGAAAAGCTGAAGTGGGTGTAAAGGCCGAAGATAAAGATGAGGCTGAAAAGTCAGGTGTTTTAACAAAAGCTAATACATCTAAGGAAAAATTAACAATGCCAGTACTGAAAAGTGCAAGAACTCAAGATAGGGATATCGAGCCTTCAACCAGCAAGGATGTTAGTAAATCAGAGAGTGCAGATAACTCTGTGGAGAATGAATCTGACATAGACAGTATTAGTTGCTTTGAAGATTTTGATAAGTTAGACACCAGGGAAGAAATGCAATCCCAACAAAAGACCATGGAAAGAAATAAAGTTTCAACACCAGAAGTAAGTAGCAAAAGGTCCACTCCCAAGTCAGGACCTGGTGTGGACTGCAAAAGTGATTCACCACCTGACCTCATCCTCTTCCTGAAAGAAGGCAGAGGGAGAGCGCAGAATTACAGTGAGCCTCCTACTCTTGAGTCTGAAACTATTGCTACCAGGAGACGGACACGTGTGCCTGCTGATCCTAAAACTATTGACATAAGTAAAAAGATAAATGCATCTCAACCAAAAGGAAAGAAAGATGTCAAAGCTGTCCAGAAAAAAGAGAGTAAAAGAGAAAAATTAAAAGTATTAGAAACACCAGAATCCTTAAAGAGATTAGCCCAGGGACTCCCGTTAAAGGACCAGAGCAAGTCTCCAGTCTTGGTCAAACAGGAAACACCAAAGACATCTGTTGAAGTTAAACTAAAGAAGCGAATTATGCTTAAGAATATAGTAGGAGATAAGATCCTTAAACAGGAGAGAACTTCCACCCCAGTGAGTGAGGAGGATGGCTCTGAAAGTGAGGATGGCAGGAGGCGAAGAGGGAGAAGAAGAGGTCACAGCAGTGAGTCCACCTCTTCCATTGATGAATCACAGCTCTCTCCAGTTAAAATGCCGCAGGGTATTCAAGTTGATCATGAAGCATCAGTAGATTACTTGAATCTTGATTCTGTGTTACAGAAAGTACCTGATAACATGGCAAGTGATAAGATACCCATTGTCATTATGTCAAATTCTGATCAAGAAGACAAACCTTCCAAAGCAATGCCAAAGAGTCGCAAATCTCGGAACTTTCTTGAAGATAAAGCCAAAACCCGAGCTTTCATGAAATTGGCTTCATCATCCAGTGAAAACTCTCTGGAGAGCAAGGAGGAACTTATGACTTGTATAGAAGACAAAGAAACCACAGAAATGGCAGGTTCATGTTCACAAAAAAATGTCAGAACAGAAACAGTAACATCAAAGAGTAAAGGTACTAGAAAAACACAAAAAACAGATATTAGTAAGGGTTCAGATGTCCTTCCAAATGAAAAAGACCCTTCTGTAAAAGAAAAGAATATTACAGAGACAAGGAGCATGGATTCCAAATTAGATTCAAGAGATAGTAAAGAGTCAGAGGTTAGTGAAGGAAGCAAACATCTACTGAAATCTAATGAGGCATTTAAACTTAGCACTTCACTCCCAGTGAAAGGCGAGAAGGAACAAGCCGCAAAGGGATCCCCTTTGATGGTTAGAGTATCAGATATTATTTCATTTACTATGGCAAGCAAAAGTCAGAAGCCAGGTTTGGCTGGGGGAAAATTCAATATTAGAATGCAGAATACTGAATTAAGTTCCTTGACTGGTAGAGTCAAGACTGCTGAATCGGGATCAAGTATGAAAACCATCCTGCTTAAGGGAGATAAAGCTAGTGTTCTACCCAAAGCTTTTATCAAAGTCGGTGAGATATCTGGACAAGATCATTTTCTCATTCCCGGTAATTCCCTGGGTCAAAAGTATCCAGTAATAGATTACACAGACATTGAAACTCAAGAAGTGGTGGTTGGAGGAGAGCTGGAAGATCCAAGTTCTCAATCAATGATGGTTGGTCATCTTCCAGAGGAGATGGATTTGATGGCAAATGAAGAGCTAGGATCCAGTAGTGAAGAGGAGAGAACAAAGTCTCCTGAACCCCAGTGTTCTACAAAGAAAGAAGCTCTCTCCCCAGAAGGAAAGGTAGCTTTAGATCACTCTTATTCATCAGGTAGTAGTGAAGGAGGGAAGGTGGTCAGCACCTCTAAAAAGAAGTCATTGCCAGCTTCATGTGATAAACCTCTCACTTCACGACCTGTGTACAGTAGTGCAAGCTTAGCCAAAAGATCATTAGATATAATGTTGCATAATGACAAGATCAATATACTAAGGCAAATGAGCCAGATATTTAATGATGAAAAACCAGTTCAGCCTGAGAAGGGTCAGTCAGTATCCAGTTCAGAAGGTGAAGGGGACGAAGACATAAGCATTGCAAAAGCTAGAGATGAATTTAAAGCAAAAGAAAAAGCAAGTGAGATAAAGAAAGAAGACAAGCATTACACAGAGAGTTCTGTAGAGAAAGACAAACAAACAAGTAAAAGTTCTAACCAGAAATATTTGCAAAAGAAGTCTGCATCCTTAAGTAGTAACCTGATACCTCCTCCATCATCTATGAGGAAGGGTCATTTGGAAGGGTGTCAAGAAAAAAGGCAGGTCGAGGAAGTGAAAGTGCCAAGTAAAAAACAGGAGACAGAACAAGCTCCTCACTGTCAGCGTGAAATTGGGAATTCTAGTAAGAAAGAGGGTAAGAATGGTATATTATTTGTTATATATTCTAAAAGTTATTTGTTAAATGTGGGAAAGACTGACATCACTAAAATTACAATAGTTTATCTCAAATTTTGGTGTGTATAGAGAAATTTGATTATATTAGGCTTCACTGTTTCTTGTTATGCATTT